TACTGTACCCCCTTTCATTGCTGGATGAGACTCACGGGACCATCAAATAGACCACTTGATGGACTGGGAGAATTTGTCTTTTTAAATGTGAGCTATTACCAAGTCACTCATAGAGGAAGTTTTGATAATCATCTCTGACATTTTCTAGAAGCTTAATGATTTGTAGAAATAATGGCCATTCTCCTGCTGTGAGAAATTGAGAAAGAGAAGGAGATGTACTCTACGTTCCTAAAAAAAAAAAAAGACACATAAAATGAAGGGTTTAATATCTTGAAATACTTCTAGTTACCAGTAATTAAATTCAGCACAAATCCTTTTTCAATATATGTGAGTAGCTGTGACAGAATTTAATGCTTGTTCCGAGGACAATAGCACGAGTTCTACTACAAGCAGCATGAGCTTATTTTTAACTATTAAAAAAATAAGAATGAAAAGACAAGATCTGCTCAGCCAATGGGAACTTTTCCGAAAAAGCGGAGACCAGGACTGAGTCCACCTCAAACCTGAAGAAACTTGAGAAAATATATTAAAAGATTAAAGAGCAGGTAACATTTTTTTAAAAAAATATTTGAAGTCAAACGCCTTTTTTTTTTTTTTAAGAAGAAAACTTTCTATTTTATATAAATACATCTGTCAAGATATTTCCTTTCTGGGAAAATGAACTGTAACATGCAGTACTCCAGCTAAGTCCAGAGGAAATTGTGTAAGTTCTGGCCTACCAAGATAAGACACTTGAAGAATAGAGCTGACAGTAAGAGTTACCAGGAGTAGACATGGTGGTAGCTGCTGTACAGGGCAGGGCAGATAGGCTGTTTGAAATCTCGGTATTTAATTGCTTTAATGTGGATTTTAACTCAGTAAATGCATTACCATGTTTGAACAGTTGTTTTGTAGAGGAGAGTGTTAACTGTGTTTGCTTCAAAAGTGGGCTACATTATTTGCTTAAAAGATGGAATTTGTCATTGCTGAAGGTAATGTGGTTTTAGGATCCTAACTATAAGCACTTGGGCTCAAGAGGGTTGGCCTTAGACTATGAATCAGTCTTGCAGACTCTCGTGGATAGAACCGAGGCAGGACATGAATTTCTTTGCGCTCATCTGTTCCACCCTTACCATTGCTTCTTCTTCAGCCCCGTTGACATTAAAACAAAGGGCTGCCTGATCATGTGAGTTGGGGATTTCAATTTTAGCTTAACAGGATTTCTTGATGTCAGCAGAAGTGTTGGAAACACTGATCTAAATGACTCATCCTGACCTATATGAGGATCAGTATGAAGCCTTTTGGATATTAAAAAGCACAGTCACCATACTGGAAAGTATCAAATGAAATCTTACGTGCTTTGTTCAGCTGTTTTTTGCTTTGCAATAAATTTCTAAAGCAAAATAAAATCATTCTCCCAGTCAAAACTGGGGACTGACACTTTATTTTAAGATCTCTCTTGTATCTTTATCACCCTCACTTCTTGGTCTCTCCCTGGTCACTTCCTTCACAACTAGGATGGGTAGAAGAGTTTAGGGCAGCCCCTGACAAGGTGCAGCTGGGTTGGAAGGGGTGAGGACAGTCAGAAGGCAGCAGTCTGTGGGCACTGTCTCTCCATGGGCAGTTCCTGATCCCCTCTCCTTTGTGTTGGTCTGCCTGTTCCACCACAGCCACCGCTGCAGCATCCCTATGGCTGCTCCAAGTGATTTCACAGCTGTCCTTCCTAGCAACAAGAGCTGATCCTAGATGATCGTTTGCAGAGTTATTTCTGTAGGCTTTTGACCAGTTTTGCTTTGCTTGTTTTTCTCTTGTTGTCGTCGTTCGTTTTCTTCTAATTTAAAAATGAAGCAAAAAAAAGTACAGCATAGTGCACGTAAACAAGGTGACACAAGATGAGCCATGTGAACAGCCATGGGTGTGAGCAGGTCCTGAGTTGCACAGCACTAGTGCTGGATTGAGTCTTAGGAGAAAATCTATGAAATTTCCATTTTGGAAGGATTTTGTTTCATCTGTGTTAAAATTTTAACCAGGACTTGAGAATTCACACTCACTATTTTATTCATGTCCATTTGAAAAATAATTTGCTACATCTGTTTAAATTCTAGAGAAATAGTAACTGGAATAAGTACCAGAGGGTTTCAATTAGCCAGGGGTATAATACACAACACGATGCCAACGAAATACAAATTAATCCAAAATGTTTCAGTTGCAAAGAGAAAAGACAGGATTTTCTGGCTTTTCAGGTTTCTTACTTTACCTTAAAGATCCTTTACCTATCTTTAAAACGTAAGAATAACAGCAATTAAACAAAGTTTGCTATTTGCTTTTTTCCTTTTTATTTGTTGAGCAACTATGTCTGTTCTAGGGTCCCCATCTTTAAAAGGGTCTTCTAGACATTGCTCAGTACAAATAATTTTTATTGCCTCAGTACTGGCCAAAAAGTAATTGAAATAAAATGCAGATTTATGAACTCCTATCCATCATGTCCGCAACGTTCTTCTTTCTTTCAAGACTTTTTCTTTCAATTCCCTTCTATGAACCCAATAGCAGTTTATTGATAAGCAGCATGCTCACAAAGAGCTGAAAAACTGTCTTGCCAAAATACATGTGCCTCCATTTATAAGTTTTACACTCGTCTATAATCTCACTTTGCCCTCTAGTGCCCATTTCGGGTTTTTCCTGCCCTGCAAACGCTGTTGACTGAAATGTGTCAAAACGCGTTTTTACTTGGTGATGAGATAGTTACGGATAGCTATGAGCTAAAAAGAAAGCTTAAAGCTATGAGAATTTCTGAACAATTAGTGGGCCATGAATTAACTTACTCCCACTGCAGGCAAGTGAGGCAATGAAAACTGTGACCCTTCATGAAAGAGCAGCTGAAGATACTTCATGCTATTTCCAAGTTTTAGTAAAAATGAGGCCATCAACAGTTTATTGCATTGCAGAAGCCACCTAGGATATGAGTGCCAGAAAGGCAATTAGGCTGAATACTTTTTATTGCACAGACTTGAAGAAGTGTAAAAGACAAAGCATCAGAAGTAAGATTTGAAGCAGTCTCACCGTGAGGCCATTTCAAGTGCTTTTAGTTACGAAGCTCAAGAAATACGTATTTTGCTTTAACGGTTCTGTCAGGATGACACCAGGCAGAAAAATGGCTCTGGTACTTTCTACTGTTTCTTCAGTCTTTTCTGTTGTTCTGGATGATGGTGAAGGTGTTGATAGCTGGTTTTATTTCTGGTATTTCAGCTTCAGACCTGATACCTTTCTCTCTTGTCACATTAGCTTGCATCTGCGAGTGGTAGAGAAGAAAGTATGTAAAATCTGCTAAAACACCAGTGTCATAAACATATTTCCTGAGATCTGGTGTACCATTGCCTTTTTTTTTTTTGTTAGATGTACATTTTTATTATCACACCTTTGAATTATACTCTTCTGAGTGGCTGGTGATCCAGGAAGGCTTTGAAGTGGTTTCTCACCTGATGCTTAAACCAACTTCTAGCAGTTTCCACACTCTGGATCTAATATCATCCCCTCTTTGGAGCCACAGCCTCCTCTCTCTCTTCTGCTTCTTTATAGAATCACAGAAGCATAGAATGCATTGGAATGGAAGGCACCTTGAGAGCTCATCTGGTTCAACCTCCCTGCAGTGAGCTGGGACATCTTTAACTGGACTTCAACTAAGTTGAAGTTTCCGACAGACCCAGAAGCCTGTGTCAAACGTACATCAGCCTTGGCCAGAGAAATAGTGTTTTTTTGGAATTTGTTGTGATTTTAGCAAGTTTTGCCAATATTCATTAGGTAACAGAGCCTGGATATATCTCTGTTTTCCCCCTTTTACTAACATAAAATAAGGGACTAGGGAAATCATAACCATTTGACATGGAGTTACCCAGGGATAATTTCTCAAGTATAAAATCTGCATTTGTCCTCATGGAAATTAGTGGATTTTCGTTTTAAAGAAATTGATTATATTGCAATTATTACTCAAAGCAATGTGGTTTGGAGGGAAAATTAACTGGAATACCAATGGCTGTGTGCTTCTGTGGTTCACCTTACAAGCAAAGGGAAAGAAGCAGAAAATTTCATGCAGCAGTAAAACATATAACTGAGTGGTGATGCTGGAGAACGCAGGAGTTAGGGTGAAAATGATCATGAGTAAGTAGGATATGTCACAAGCAGATGTGGATTTAGGGTACTTTTTTTCTGTGATTCTGTGATTTTATGGAAAAACAAGTCTTGCAAGTAAGCTTGTGAAAGAAGCTGAAGTGAATTGGAAACACAGCAGGAAGGAAAACAAGCCTCTTCACCAGAGAGAGAGCACAAGGAGGCAAAGATACTTCAACTAGAAGTAACAACGTGCAACTGAGAAGGTATTGCAGAAGCCATAGCTACTGCAAAAAATATCCTGTAAGACAAATCCTTCTAGAATTACTTCATCTCCTTGACCAAGGCAAATGTTAGAATGACTCAAATAGGTTTTGTTGTCCTGGGTTTTTGTTGTCTTGGGGTTTTTTTGTATGCTTGGAGATGAGCATACAAAACTTGTAAGGGTAATGAATGGTCTGAGTTTAAGCTAGAACCACTTAAATAAACAATATACTACTTTATTTTTTATGCAGTCTCAATCAGAACAAATCTAGCAATTCCTGTAAGGTGAGCGATGTGTTGTCCATTCACAAGTACATGATTCTCTCAACGTAGGTGAAGCAGAGATGGAAAGCAGCAGCACATCTTCCCAGCAGAATACATAGGATAATACAATCCCTTCCTATGGAGTAACCCACTGAGGAGTCTTATAGATCAGTTTACAGCCAGTGCAGACACACTGTTTACCAAGGGAAAAATTTACTTACATTGAGTAATTTGTTACATTTGCAGGAATACATTTCAGGAACATCATTATTTAACCACAATATCAAAATGAACTACAAATATCAAAATGAACTGCCACGAGATAGATCACAGAACAAATAATGAATATCAATCAATTTATTGCCAAGTTATGGTCAAAATCTTCGTACCTTTGTTGTTAAGCTTCCTTATGACTTTATCAATCAGTTGGAGACATCTCCTCATTTCTGCACGGCTGATCTCCCAGGAGCACAGGGTGTGTTGTTTGTCTTTAAGAAAACAGTCTATTTTTTGGAAGTACTTTTTCAATTTCAGCTTGTGGACTTCTTTTCTCCGAGAGTAGTGGGTCTGCTTCTTGATTACACATGCTTCCAGTTGCTCAATTTGCTGGTAAAGTCCATTTTGGAATTCTTCTAAAGCTGTCCCATCCCAAGCAGCCAGAGTCAGATTTTTGCTGAAGATGTGGAAGATGTGTTGGAAGATCTCTTCAATAGCCACTTTTACAGACTCCTCCTGTCTGGGGTTTAGAACTTGCTCAGGAAATCTGAAGGACGTTTTCTCTCTTAGACATTGCTGAGGAAACCTTCTGCCCATTTTATCCAACAGTTGCAGGCTGTTCTTGACAACTTTTCTTTGCTGGAAAGAAAGGTGATTACACCAGAGACTGGATGTGGTGCTGGCAGTGTACAACAGCATGAGGCCAATTTGTAACAAGCCAAAAGTGCTCATGCTAAAGATAAGCTTTTATGTTCCTCCTTTCCTGTGTATAAATTCTAGAGTCAGGCTAGGATGCTTTGAAGGTCATTAGTAAGCTTGTATTTCTTCACAATCTTGAAATTTAATTATTTCGTGGGAGAAGTTTTCTTTCATCATTTTTTGGTTTTTAAGGTTTTTCCCCTTTGTGTATGATTTGGACACTTACCACTTTCATTTTCTGCTTTATGACTTCATTGTCTTCTTCTTTTTTTCAGTTGTTTATTTTAGCCGGAAATATATATATATATGTATATATACCTTAGATTATATATTCCCTCTCCCTCCAAAATTCTACAGGAAGTATAATGAGAATTTCAAAGAAAAAGTTGCTAAATATCCTTAGCTTCTTAGAATTTTAGCAGTGGGAGAACATGTTGAAACGCAATAGCAGTCTCAATGATGGGTCAGGGAAGTGCTGAAAGCCACTGTCATCCTGTCTCTTCAGCATGATTTACACTTCCAAAATTTAGCTAAACGTCCTCTACCTGTCTTCATCAAGGGAAAATATTTTCTTTCTCCTCACCTGTATTTCTTTTGACCATTTAGACTCAAAGGACAGATGGTATAGCATTAAAATATGTGTGTGTATGTATGTATATATATAAGAAATGTGTGTGTGCATTAACATACTTATGTGTATTTTAATGCATACACACTGAAAATTAAATGAAGACTTGATCTCACTTTAATACTGTAAATACCATGTAAATACAAATACTCACATCTGAACAGGTTAGATACTTGGACAAAATGTTCCATTTTCTCGCTGTTTGAGTGACTGAGTAATAATTAATCTCAGTGCCAGCAGAGCACAAGTTTGAATTCTGATGATAACTGGGAAGACAATGAATACAGAATATACTCTGAAACTCAGCCATTTGTTTTCCCTAGATGTATAATAGAGGAAATTACGACTGATGCACTACGTTGGGAAATCTGGCTCCTGATTTGGTTTTATTTTGATGAAAGCTTTTCTTAAACTATCATTTTGCTGTCTCCTCAGCCTCCTGAGTAGACATATGTCATTGCAAAGGCAATTCTCTGCAGGTGATCATATCCTGATAAACTGGGTTTTTTTAGTCAGATAAACTGGTTTTTTTTAGCGTTAGACCCAGCTTTCTAATTCTGCTCTGTTGCTGCACCCACTGCTCTGTGGTTGGCCTCATTCACAATCTGGAAGTCACCGTGAGCAGTTTATGACACTATTTCAGGCCTTCCTTTGTGTTCAGCACATAGGTATTTGGGAGGCTTTCAAAAGTCCTAAATTAAGCTGAGCAGAATTACTTGCATGATCAAACTCCTTGGATGCCCTGGTGTTGCTTAAGCAACCTTGGACTGGATATACTGCAGCGTGAAGTAAAAACTTACTCCTTAACAAGTATGACAGTATTAAATAAAAAGAGAAAGAACAACTAGAGCAGTGCAATCAAATCTTTTCAATTAACAGGCATGTTTGCTACTTTGGAAAAACTGACCTGAGGTGCATTATTTTGTTAGATGCAAAATGACCAATGGAAATTTATCACATTTGCAAACATACAGATATCGAAGGTAAACACATAACATATTACAATCATCATGAAAGCAATAAAAAAATGTATTTAGTTCAAGAAAAGTACTACAGCTGTTTTCATAAAGTGTACACAAGTGGGTTTTTTCCAAATTGTAATCACATGAGCTTAGACCTTTCATTAATTTAAACAGGTAAACTTCACATTCAATGTATCTCCCAGACGGATAAGTACTTTCTCTCCTCTTGCAAAACTCTTTTACATGTTTCCCTCTCACTGAAGAACTGGAGATGCCATTCTGGGTGTAACAAACATTACAGAGGAGAAAAACAGAATCATAGAATTCTTTAATAGTTTAGGTCAGAAAAGACCTTTAAGATCATCAAGTCCAATCACTAATCTAACACTGCCAGGTCCACCATTAAACTATGTCCCTAAGCACTAAGTCTACATGACTCTTAAACACCTCCAGGAATGGAGACTCCACCGCTGCCCCATGCCACATGTTCCAATGCCTGACAACCCTTTCAGTAAAGAAATTCTTCCTAGTAATCAATCTAAACCTCCACTGGTGCAACTTGAGGCTGTTTCCTTTTGTCCCATCACTTGCTCCTTGAGAGAAGAAACTGATATGTGGAAGTCTGTAGTTTGGGATATAAATTTGAGATTTTTCTGTGTTCTGTAATTTGGGACAGTTTGTGTTCTGTAGCTTGGGGGTGAATTTCAGAGTCGTTTTGCTCTGTTAGGAAGGGGGGATGTGCAAGCTGCGGGAGAGCATAGCAGGGAGGCCAGGAGCTCTGGTCGCAGAGCTGCCCGGGGATTGGCTTGTGCTGGATCCGAGGCACCGGGCAGAAGAAGAGGTCAAAAGTTCGTGGCCGAGGAAGACTTGGGGCCTTCCTCGGGGAGGCCACCAGAGTGCACCAGAGGACCACCGGGGAGCTGCAATGCGCAACAACACCCACCTCGCTACAACCTCCTGGGGGGCCATAACATCTCCCCTCAGCCTCCTCTCCTCCAGGCTAAACAGCCCCAGTTCCCTCAGCTTGTGAATGGACTACACATCCCTCACCTTACAGGAATTGCTCTATTTGTTCTGATTAAGACTATATAATACATGAAGTAGTATGTTTTATTTAAGCGGTCCTGGGTTAAGCTCAGACCAGTCATTACTCTTTCAAATTTTGTATGCTCTTCTCCGAGAATGTAAAAAACCCCAAACAACACACCTATTTGACTCATTCTAATATATGCCTTGTTCAAATAGGTGAAGTAATTCTAGAAGGATTTGTCCATATAGCCTATTTTTTGCAGTTGCTATGACTTCTGCAGTACCGTCTCAGTTGAAGTGTCTTTGCTTCCTTGAACTCTCTATCTGGCGTAGAGGCTGTAAGAGACTGTGTTAACTGAAGAAAAG